TACCGTAGACATAACACGAGTCCTCCGGAGACCCATGGAAGAGGGATTGAACCCTAAACCCTAAACCCTAAATTATCCACTGTGTCGAGCGATGGCGGTCCCTCCTCGAAAAAGGAAAAGGTAAATAAGGTGCAGAAAAAATACAAGTCAATAAATTAAATTAAATATAATAGACAAATCGTCCTCCTCTCAACATTCGCATCTCTCAAGCCCCATCCACAGCCATCAGAGTCAGACGCAGGGGTAAATGAAACCCCTCTATAGGCCTTCCGGCCATAAAACCCCATAATGGCCTTCTCCCCTCCATGTCTAGACCCCAAACCAATCCAGATCCTGCACCCACGCTTGCTCTCGCAAAAAGCCAGACAGTGTCACACGAATTAATGAAAAAAGACGTCTATGTCCCACCTGAAAGATGGTCGCAGTGTTCTGATGTATCTGATCTGACAGTCTGACTCAAAACATCGACACCATTGCCAGGAAATTATTGGGTGGACAGCGAAATATGCAGTCCGTCATGACCCGCACCGAGAACACAACGTCCGACGGCAAAGGGGCACATAGACTTCACAGCAATGTTTTCACTGCCACGCAAACTACTTTTCGCATCAAAGAAGACGTGTCACCTCCCTATGTGCTTCCGTGGACCGAAGTTTGTCTTCTCAGAAAAGAGAGAGAGAGAGAGAGAGAGAGAGAGAGGAAATGAAGGGATGGCGTTTATCAACTGCAATATATACAAAGCGAGAATTCTAAAGTGGTCACAAAAAGAAAAAAGAGGAGAAAAAAGGAGGTGAGGAATCAGAAAGAGGGGAGAGGGGGGGGAGAGGGGGAAGAGGGGAAAGGGGCGAAGATATTAACAGGCACAAGTCTGAAAATTCCTAGAGAATGCACTCCTGTCGCATGCCAGGGAAAAATAAGTAGACGAAATGTTTTCCCCACAGAGTAAATGAGACAGAAGATGGCAAGCTCACTACTACAAATGGAGGACGCGAGGGAGCCCGGGAGGGAGGGAGGGAGGGAGAGAGGGAGGGAGGGAGCGAGTGAGGGAGGGAGGGAGGGAGGGAGGGAGAGGAGAAGAGAAGAGAACAGAAGAAGCTCGGAAGCAGCAGCATGGAGATATGGGTCTACGCTTGGTGTGCTACATGTTGCTATGTGTTTGCGCTAGTCTGCACGACTGCACACATAGTGAATGAAGCCTCATCTGACCAAAAGCGTATCCATATACTTGGACTAGGCCAAGGAGTGCGTGCTGCTCCCGAAAAAACACCATTTGACTGACTGGAGATCGTCGACAGTCGCTTGCCATCCTTGAGCTCACTGCAGACAATCGCTGCAGAAACTACTAGACAATGCATGTCCTCAGGATGAGGACTTCCTTCTGGAGCTATTTTCCACATCTCCCTTTAGAGATGTTGATGCGCATTCCCCATGAGATGTCGGGACGTAGCGAGCGACACACACACAGAGAGAGAGAGAGAGAGAGAGAGAGAGAGAGAGAGAGAGAGAGAGAGAGAGAGAGAGAGAGAGAGAGAG